TTTCAAATTAAACTATGCCCCCTTTTTTTAATGGTTGGTAGTGCACTAAAAAATCAATACATTTTAGCATCTTAGAAGCAATATGCATTCTAAAGAGCCCTTCTTCTGAGTTGGAGTTATGCCCAAATCTTCATTTATTTAAGTATATGACACACTCTATCCAAACTCCCAAAAGAACAACAACTGTGTTTCATGAAACATAATTCCTGCATTAAAAGAAATATATATAGATATCGTTCACTGATATCATTTGGAAACTGTGGGCTTAATCCAATTGTTAATCTGAATTAGTCCCACTGGAAGAATATTATTTGTTAAACCAATGTGTATGTAACAGCCAGTGATTTAACAAGCCCAGGTTAGTCCCAGTTGGGTGGGGTGGGACTAACAAACAGATCTCTCAAAGTGCAATTCATTCACTTTTCCTGGGTGCAATACAGCCTCATTTTGAATACAGTCCTAAGTAAGCTAAAGGGTAAGCCCTATTGGACAACAAGAAATGTGAGTTTTGTGTTATTTTTTTCATGCAGAGCAGTGTGCTTTATGCATTGCAGTAATAAGTTCAGTGAATGTTTGTTCAACAGCACTCTCCTATGCATGTCCATTCAGACTTCAATGGGGCTTGCTCCTAAATAAGTGCATAAAAGTTCTGTACTTTTTTTATTTTGTGCCTTGAAACCAGTGAAAATTCAAAGTATATTTGCATATAACAAAGCACATTATTTGGGAGACAAAAGTTGTGATTACTCAGTTCTAGAAGGGTTCTGGATGAGTACTCAGGTCAGGCCCGTAGCCAGGATTTCATTTCGGGGGGGGGGGGCTGAATTTTTTTCAGGGGGGGTTCAGGGGGGGCTGAGTTTGGTTTGGGGGGGGCTGAGTCTGAGTGAAAGAGGGTCTACCCTAGCAAAACTTTTGTATCGTTACCCCAATACCCCCATGCATATGGGATATATTGAGTATGGTGATCAGATCATGATATGAATAAACATAACAGTTTAAATAATGCACCAGTAAGGCCTTTTCGTGAACCACCATGAGAATTTGGGGGGGGGGGCTGAAGCCCCTCCAGAGCCCCCCCCCCCGGCTACATGCCTGACTCAGGTAAAAAGATGGTCCAAGCTATCTTGCCAGCCACACAACCAGGAGGCGACAATGCAGGCTCCTTGGCGGAGAAAAGCACCTCCCCAGAGCCAGAGATGAAAACCACCTCCAGAAGTCGGAAATGAAAGAAGCCTTTGCCTTTGTTTGCCTTTGTGTGTCTCATTGTATATGATTGTGAAGGCATTGAATGTTTGCCTATGTATGAAAATGGTGTAATCTGCTTGGAGTCTCCTAGGGGAGAAGGGTGGAATATAAATAAAGTGTATTATTATTATTATTATTATTATTATTACTACTCCTAAAGTGCAATCATGTCCACAGAAGTTCTAATTAAGATCCGCAGGGCTACTCCCAACAAAGCATAGGTATAAGATTGAATAATTGAAAATATTTTCAAATACATACTTCATATTGAAAACCTACCATGCATAGGAATCTAAATAAATAACCTATCTATAGTACAGACAGTCCCCCAGTTATGAACACCTGACTTACAAACAACTCCTAGTTAAGAACAACTTTCTGTTGTGTGAGACAGCAGGAAGTAAGCAATATATCTACTACTTGGAAAGGAAATTCACTCCTGAAAGTGTTATCATGGGGAAAAGGTGTATGCACTGAAGCTTTCTCACCAGTCCTTGTTTCCACACATTTTTTCAAAATCCAATTATCACAGGGACCAGGCCCGTAGCCAGTATTTTGTTTTTTTTTTGGGGGGGGGGGTGAGTTTGGTTCAGGAGGGGGCTGAGTTTGGTTCAGGGGGGGCTGAGTCTGAGTGAAAGAGGGTCTAGCCTAGCAAATCTTTTGTATCATTACCCCAATACCCCCATGCATATGGGTTATATTGAGTATAGTGATTAGATCATGATATGAATAAACATAGCAGTTTAAATAATGCACCAGTAAGGCCTTCTCGGGGACCACCATCAGAATTTCGGGACGGAAAGTGAGATAAAATCTGCTGCACATGGCACAGTCAGCAAAACAAACACCACAGGGGTGTTAACCTTTCCCTATGTTATCCAAAGCTTTTATACACATACATACATACATACATACATGCATGCATGCATGCATGCACACACATATATACACACATATATATTTGGTTGGAATTACACTGAATCTTTTTACCTGTTTTGACATCCAAACAAATGTCAATTAAGAACAAATCTATAGAGCCTATCTTGTTTGTAAGTTGGGGACTGCCTGTATATATTTCTGAACAGACTCATAAGAAAACTATCTTTCAGGTCACATTTCAGCATCTATGTCTAGTAATTAGATATTATTAGAAATGTTGTCCTGGTGTCTTAGATGAGAGACCCAGGCCGCATCTACACTGACCATTAAATGCAGTTTGAAGCTAGTTTCAAACTGAGGTAATTAGACAACAAACTCCCACTAAAGCGAGTGAAAGTAAGCCCCAAATTCTCATCACCAGCACCTTGTGGTTTGTGTAATGACCATCTCAGCCTCAAATTGGTTACAAGATTTCCCATCTGTATAGCAAAATCCCTTTCTTCAATACCGGTTTGAAACTGACTTAAGTGGTCAGTGTAGATGTGCCCCAGAGTGTATCTAGACTGTAGAATTAGTGCAGTTTGATACCATTTTAACTGTCATTGATCAGTGCTAAGGAATCTAGTAGAACCAGAGTTGGAAGAGACCTCTTGGGCCATCCAGTCCAATCTCCTGCCAAGAAGCAGGAAAATTGCATTCAAAGTACCCCCGACAGATGGCCATCCAGCCTCTGTTTAAAAGCCTCCACAGAAGAAGCATCCACCACAGTCCAGGGCAGAGAGTTCCACTGCTGAACAGTTCTCATAGTTAGAAAGTTTTTCCTAATGTTCTGGTGGAATCTCCTTTCCTGAAGTTTGTATTTGATTCGGCACCAGCACTCTTTGACAGATAAAGCTTAAGATCTTGTAAAACTATAACTTCCATGATCACATAACATTGATCCATGGCAATTATAGTGGTGTCCAAAGTGCATTAATTCTATAGTTTCAGTAGTCTATGTATTTTGTTGGAGCCCTACAGTAATGCATGCGGAAATTATTCAAGCAAATATCAGGGCAGGAAACAATTTACAAGAAAATAGGGAATAGAATTACACCTTTTGCTTTTGACGCTGTATGAGGAAAATGCATGGCAACAAGAAAACAAATTTGAGGTAAAGAGGAGATTTTTTTTTAAAAAAATGCAAAAACAATACTGACTCTCAAGGAGGTCTTGTTATTAGAAAATAGCATACTAACTAGCAGCAGGTGGACTTCATATCCTTTGGAATTCAGATAATCCACTAGGCGTTTGAATATTTGTGGATTAATCCATGTTTTCATAAACCATGGTTCTGAAATGGCAGGTGAAGGGGACTTTATAATATACAATCAGTCATTGTTATCCTCAGATTTGGTATCCTGGATTCAACCATCCATGGCTTTAAAGTATTAGCATAAAGGAAACCTTGATTTTTGCCATTTTATATAAGGGGCATCATTTAACTATACATTGTATATAATGGGGCTTGAACATCCATGGATTTTGGTACCCAGGACATGTTCTGAATGAAAAAGAAGGAGCAGAATTCAAGACGATTTGAACAGATTAGAGAGATGGGCCAAAAACTCACAAAATGAAGTTCAACAGTGACAAATGCAAGATACTCCACTTAGGCAGAAAAAATGAAATGCAAAGATACAGAATGGGGGATGCCTGGCTTGACAGCAGTGTGCATGGAAAAGAACAAGTTAAACATGAACCAACAATGTCATGAGGCAGCTTAAAAAGCTGCATAAATAGGGGTCTAGTGTCTGGATCCAAGGAAGTCATGCTACGTCTCTATTCTGCCTTGGTCAGACCACACCTGTAATACTGTGACCAACTCTGGGCACCACAGTTTAAGGGAGATGCCGACAAGCTGGGATATGTCCAAAAGAGGGCAACTAAAATGATCAAGGGTCTGGAGAACAAGCCCTATGAGGAACAGCTTAAATAACTGGGCATGTTTACCCTGGAGAAGGCTGAAGGAGGCATGCATGATAGCCATGTACAAATATGTGAGAAGTCATAAAGAGGAGGGAGCAAACTACTTTTCTGCTGCTCTGGAGACTAGAATGCAGAACAATAGCTTCAAACTACAGGAAAGGAGATTCCACCTGAACGTTAGAAAGAACTTTCTGACTCTGAGAGCTGTTCAGCAATGGAACTCTCTGCCCCAGAGTGTGGTGGAGGCTCCTTCTTTGGAGGCTTTTAAACAGAGGCTGGATGGTTATCTGTTGGGGGTGCTTTGAATGCAATTTTCCTGCTTCTTGGCAGGGGGTTGGACTGGATGGTCCACAACGTCTCTCCTAACTCAATGATTCTATGACTCCAAAGTGCAATGGTACAATTGAAGGGGAATGTAAACTGTATAAGTACAGTAAAAGATGTTATGACAAACAGATGCCTTTGAACTGATGGGGGAGCAACTTTTCTCAAAATGTGTCATCTAGTTTGACCCTTAAAAGTTCCCACAAAGCAAGAACAGGATGCCCACAGCACACCACAGCATATATATAAAGCCATCATATTTGGGGTGCTCTATGAGTAGTAAACTCTAAGCAAACACACTTTGCTTATCATTTTGTCCCACTTATGATGTCCTAACAACCTAATACTAACAGACAAGGTTCATGTTTATATGGGTTACTGATTCTCTTGCTCTCACCGCCTGCACAGTCTTTCATTCCACATACTATAATCCCATGGATTTCTGCAAGAGGCCAATGGATGGAAGAACTGCACAGCTGGACTGCTTACTAAGTAAATAATCAGAATCAGCAGATTTAGAGTCATATGGGCACCTGATAAGTAGCCTGTTTTGTAGGAGGATGGAGTATAAAAACCCAATCCCCACTGGCTTCTTGCTGCTGGCAGAGACTTACTAACTACTTACGCAATGGCTGCCTCTACTTTCTCTCTGCTTCTCGTTTGCTTAGCTGCAACAGTGTATCTCACCAAAGCCGCACCACTGGTAAGTATAGTAGTCATAGTAGTAGTAGTAGTAGTAGTAGTTGTACACTGGTAAATTGAAGGGAAGAGGTAGAAAATGATTTCCTACAAGTTCATTATCAAATCTGAACTTCAGTCAGATATGCTGATCAATGATGAACTCACAACTCTTTGAATGGCTGTCCTATTCACCAAGGTATGGGTCATGCATTTGTTGGAGTGAGGTTTAATTTGGACACAAATATGCCTTGGGAAACAAAATGGCCTTAAACCTATTGCTACTCTTAACTAGAATAGACACACTGAATCAATAGGATTAATCTCTATTCTTGTTGTCTCAGCATTCAATAGCTGCTTCAACAGGATTCTACTTGGAATTAATCAATAGGACTCCAATAAGTCACATCTTGTAATCTATTGTGATGAAAGAATGAGCAGATATATTTGGAAACATGGTGTAAGACCGGTTATCTGGTATATACATTATTGGCAAATTCATGAGGTGACAGCTACATAGTAAATTGATGATCTGTTAATTTAATGACTTTCTACAAAAAATGTGTCATCTTTCAGTGCTTAATTTACAGTTAGAAAATTGGACAGAATGCTTAATATTTTTTTCATTTTGAAAAGATTATAACTAAATGCCAGTGTGTCATATATGAAAATTAGACATACATACTCTCATACACAGATGAATACATCTTATAGAGTTCCAGCTGTTTGAGCAACTAAATATGTGTGTGTGTATGTGTGTGTATATGTATAGTAAAGGTTTCCCCTGACATTAAGTATAGTCATAGCCAACTCCAGGGGTGCTGCTCATCTCCATTTCTAAGCTGAAGAGCCAGCATTGTCTGTAGACACCTCCAAAGTTGTTTGGCCAGCATGACTGCATGGAGTGCTTTTATCTTCCTGCAGGATCAGTACCTATTGATCTACTCACATTTGCATGCTTTCAAACTACTAGGTTGGCAGAAGCTGGGCCCAACAGCAGGAGCTCACACCACTCCCTGGATTCAAACCACCAACCTTTCAGTCAGCAAGTTCAGCAGCTCAGTGGTTCAGCAGCTCACACACTAATCCATACTCTTATCATTTTAATTATTTTAAAGAAACTGTATTTGAAAGTATTTCAATTAATAGCATCATTGCAGATTGCCAATATAAGTCAGTGCAGCCAATGACAGTAGTACATGATTTCATTTATCCTTTTACAGTGGAAATTTTCACTTATATTTACAGGAATTGTGATGTTTGGATGTCTACAATGTGCATCTTTAACTAGATAATTAAACATTTCTGAGACCAGGCTCAATAATGTTTCCATACTTACAAGACTGATTGTGCTGATTGTACATAATTCAAGCCCAGTTTCTGGACAGCCTTCAAAATAGTATAAAATGGAGGGTATTAATGGTCTTTTTCTACTCAAGAAATTCTTTGTTAAAAAGTAAAGCTCAAATTTTATTATTTTCATGCTTGTTTTTGTTGTTGTTGTTCATTCGTTCAGTCGTCTCCGACTCTTCGTGACCTCATGGACCAGCCCACACCAGAGCTCCCTGTCGGCCGTCACCACCCCCAGCTCCTTCAAGGTCAGTCCAGTCACTTCAAGGATACCATCCATCCATCTTGCCCTTGGTCGGCCCCTCTTCCTTTTGCCTTCCACTTTCCCCAGAATTGTCTTCTCTAAGCTTTGCTGTCTCCTCATGAAGTGGCCAAAGTACTTCAACTTTGTCTCTAGTATCCTTCCCTCCAGTGAGCAGCGGGCTTTATTTCCTGGAGGATGGACTGGTTGGATCTTCTCGCAGTCCAAGGCACTCTCAGAACTTTCCTCCAACACCACAGCTCAAAAGCATCGATCTTCCTTCGCTCAGCCTTCCCTAAGGTCCAGCTCTCACATCCGTAGGTTACTACAGGAAATACCATGGCTTTGACTAGGCGGATCTTTGTTGCCATTCTGATGTCTCTACTCTTTACTATTTTATCGAGATTGGACATTGCTCTCCTCCCAAGAAGTAAGCGTCTTCTGATTTCCTGGCTACAGTCTGCATCTGCAGTAATCTTTGCACCTAGAAATACAAAGTCTGTCACGGCCTCCACGGTTTCTCCCTCTATTTTCCAGTTGTCAATCATTCTTGTTGCCATAATCTTGGTTTTTTTGACGTTAAGCTGCAACCCGGCTTTTGCGCTTTCTTCTTTCACCTTGATTAGAAGGCTCCTCAGCTCCTCCTCGCTTTCGGCCATCAGAGTGGTGTCATCATTTTAAATATCTTCTATTAACATTTTAAATATCTTCTATTAACAGGTCATTTGTCTGGGCTACACATTGTCTCTTATATTAAGGTCACTTCCACTTACCTCTTGGTCAAACAATAGGAAGTGTGTTGGGCCATCAATAAAGAGGTCGTGGACCACAGGTACTGATAGTTATTTTCTTCTGTCTCATTAAGGTAACGCATGGCTCCATTGACTCCAAGTGCCCTCTTATGGTGAAAGTGCTTGATGCAGTTCGTGGAAGCCCAGCTACCAACTTGGTAGCAAAAGTGTCCAAAAGGGCTGAAGATGGAACCTGGAAGGAGTTTGCTACTGGGTATGTTGTACATCAAGCAGTGTATCATGTAAAGCAAGGTGGCCTTGTAAATTGAAATTGTACAAATGCAGAGCTATCATCCAC